TGAACTGGTAATAGTTGCAAGCGTATCATATACAGTGAGTGATAATCCACCTAGTTATTTAGCCTAACTTATCGATTGATTTGACTCAAATCGTTCGCCTATGTACTTATTTAATTACTTACACGCCTATTAGCCCTAACTGAATCATAGGCCGTCAGCCAGAGATGTATTTTTACAGTTGATAGTTAATTTTAATTGAAAAATGAACACCCAAAAAGATGAAATAACTTTTATGTTTAAAAAAACAAGAAAGCTTAAAAGAAGTAGAAAGTTTATTAGTTCTCTTGTAGTGAAGGAGAACACAGGTGAGGGTAACCGAGTTGTGTTTATCGCAAATTACAGAGTTACTCAGTAAAATAGGAAAACCATATCGTGAATAGTTAATTTGCAAATCTTCAATCCATCATCAATCCATTGTCTGACATTTCACATACATACAAATTCCATTGTGTTCCCACTCTTCCTTTCTTGATCTTTCCCCATGTTCTGCTGCTAGATATTACGTTTTCACTCGCGTCATATACTACTTATAAGTAGCGCGTACCACAAGAGTAACTGATTATTTTTAAAACTAAATAAATATTCCCTAGGGTGTATAGATGTTTCTTTTATGCGGATGAAAATTACATTTCAATCTGGAATGCTCGCCTAGATTTATTTTATCATTTCAGTTGAAATACAACTTAAAGTAAGTAATACTTATGACCTGAAAAAAAAATAAAAAAGAGGTCAGTCGTTGTTGTTAAATCAATCTATACAACAAAATGAAATGAAAAGTGTGGTTAGTTATTAAATATGTCAGTCATCTTGAAAAAAATTGAAATTAAGGTGATATTGTAATGTTTATATTAATAAATTGTTTTGATCAGTGTTAAAGAATGAACGGTTAGCTTATTATTACTGACATCATGAATCCATCATTGTTAGACTACCATTTGGAAACGTGGAAGCATCGGACAATTGTTTCGTTCTGATATGGAACTCATCAACAGTGCGCACGGACGACTTCGAACCCAGAACGTTTAGTCTTGCGCACGAATGCCAAACCTTTTGGCCAATAAGCTGGCTGACGCCTAATGTTTAACTCTGATAAGTTGTAAGAATTTTGCCCAACCTCAACACTCATCTTCGGTAGTTACTGTCAACACCCGACTTCGCATATCTTCCCACACGAACTCCAAGAATATCCTTAAGAAGGTTGTGAAAATTGTTGAGTTTCATTGAAACCATAAACCATAATTAACAATATGAAAGTCTTGGATGGCCATTTAATCTTAATAGCGGAGAAGGATGAGCACTGCTGATGAGTTTCATATTAGAATGAAACAGTCTTCGAGTGCTTTCAGGTTTTTAATCATGTAGTCTAACATTGATCAATTAAGAATTTCATTGAGTTTGTTGAACGGAGCTTGGCGGTCTATTTTTACTAAATTCTACCTATAAAATGCTTGATTTCTAGTTACCTGTATCCAACCAAATTTCAAGACATGTTGTTGTTTTTAATTATAGCGGCATAAATAATTATATTTACAATAAATCATTTTAACAAAACAGTGTAAATATTAAAAGGTTTCATCATGTGACTGTATATACGCATATTAACTATTCATAAATGATTAATTTCGTGACATTTTTGTAGAACAAAATATCAATAGTCATTGTGTTTCATGTCGGTCAAATTCAATGTACAATGTACACTGATGTTTCGGCTTATAAAATAAGATGAAAAAAATCATTTTTACTTCACCAGAAAACAATTAACTTTTTGTTATTATTTATTAACCCTACCTGTTTATTTGTTCTGATTCTACATTGAAACCGTAAATGTATAAGTGGTACTGGAAGGCGGTTTCGTCCTGGTATAGAACTCATCAGCTGTACGCATCCACAAACCCACTCGCAGGCGCTCTCGGTCTCGCATGTGAATGCCTAACCTCTAGACAACTTAGCCAGCATCCAACAGTGTTTCTGTCTACCTTTGATAAACTGTAATTATTTGGACAAACTCATCCATTGTCTTTGGTAATTGCTGTCTACTTGCAACATGGTTTAACTTCTTTACTCATGACTTCTCTCTCACGAATGAGCATACTTTTTGATTTTACATGTTAGAATTATAGAGAGATGGTGTAGTGAAGGAGAACACAGGTGAGGACAACCGAATTGTAATTATCACAAATTACAGAGTTAATTGGTAAAATAGGAAAACCATATCGTAAATCGTTAATTTGCAAAATATCAATCCATCATCCATCGAACTGGACTGTTCCTGTTACAAACATCAATCCATTGTGTTCTCACTCTTCCTTTCTCTTGATCTTCCCACCCATCTTCTGCTGCCAGACATTACGTTTACACTGGCGTCATATACTACTTATAAGTAGCACATACCGCAATGGTTGTGTTACATACATTCTAATCGTAAATGCATCACTGTTAGACTGACTACCTTGTAGAAATCTGGAAGCACTTGACGACCGATACCTTGGATGTGCACTCTTAAAGAGTCGACCATCCAGTGCTTCTTCCAGGTTTCTAATGACTGACTGGTCTACCAATGACTGATTTTATGAATTCAGTGTAACACAACCATTTCCAAAACTCTATCCTTAGAATTATGTTGAGGTAATCAGTCTAATCAATGTATATTTATTTAATAAACTTGTAAAAATTAATTTCAATAATAAATAAACTATCAGGAGAATGAACATGTTTTAACAATTAAAAAAAATAATAATTTGTCGTCTTTTAATCGTAGGCTGCTGATTTATAATTAATGCCCAATTAAAAAAAACTTTGTTAATTAATTAATTAATTAATTACATTTATATGTATAGATGGCACCGTGATATCCAGATAGATAAAATGTAAATTATTCATCGGCAGAAACAAAACACATTTCATGTTAGGCCTATTTTCCATACTTGTATGTTTTCGTATAAAACTACAATGTCGTGTAGGTAAAATGACGCTCTATTTAATTTTTTTCAAATTGTTATTACAAAGCTTCAACAATAATGATCGACCTACCGGGGATTTATTCATCAAACAGAAATGAGTGGATTTATTTTTTAATAGGTCTAAATAGTTCAAGTGTAGATTTGAACGATGGTTCGATGAGGATGACGATGAAGGGGTTTTGTTCACTCAGCTGGGGGTTGTGGAGTTTTGTTATGCGCGTCACTAGTTGATAGGCTTGAATGCTACTATTACGAGTTCAGCTTAGTTGATAAATGAGATCGAAGACATGAGATCCAATGACACTATAGGCTATACTGCAATCGGAGCGTCTTAACGCCCCATTAAGTAGAGGAAGAAGTTTCGACAAGATGTAGAAAGTGTATTCTACAATCACCCACAAAATGTAAGGTCTTTCAAGCACAAAAATTGAGTTTATTTATACATGATAAGAACATTCTTGGGAGAGCCACAAAAATAGCGCACTAAAATAACTATCACATCAACCAAGGACAGTCTAGGATTTCGCGGGTGGGGAATGTAATCTGTAGGTCAACTTATCAGCCCATGCTTGAAAACATAAAATCCAAAATTAGGGCCTTAATCAAGTGAGTTTTGGGGATCTAACATCCATAACAGGTTTTCTGAACCTTCGGTCTCTCACGAGAACGATTTAACTGTAGACCAATGAGCTGGAAAGCAGTGGTGTCTATGTCCAACGTCAATCAATTCACGGTTCCATACTACGACGAAACGGACATTCAGTGCCTCCTGGTTTCTAGTGGTGATTGAACATTTGGTGATTGGTGACTTCAATGAAACTCAACAAACTCCATAACCCTATGACGAAAAACTGTAAATTCACAATTTCTTGTATCGTTTAGTGTTAGTTCAGTTGTTCGTGGATTAGAATAACTCAACTAAATGAATCGAATCATATTATTGACTTATCGAGTTTTATTTTATGGAGTAATGTAGTGTATGTGAGCCCACATGTCTTGTCTTAAGTTTCGGATCAATCAATTAAGCTTTTCTACCCGAGATACAAATCGGACATCTTTCGATCTTGTCAACTACTGGTTTATAACCTTGGTTTGTATGTATATTAGTTGCTTCGCTTGTCACTTATCTAGCCTATTTTTTGTCTGACTATAAATACTAAGTAATACTTCATCTCGTTGAGTTAGTCCACAAGGCCTTCGATTTCATGATTCTTCTTATAACCGCCATTGCACAAAACGATACTGACCTTAGTATCATATACGAAAATTGAGATGAACGGTTTATATCATGGCATTTTGAATTCTCGCTTCTAAATTTCAGTCTGATCGCGAGTCACTTAAATAGCCTAATTTATGACAAGAAATCATGTTTGATAGTACTCTGTTCTCTCTAATTAACTATTATAGTAATGACCAAACCATCAACTTTTATCATGCATCGGTATAGTTACTTACTTACGCCTGTTACCCCCCAAAGGAGCATAGGCCGCCAACCAGTTTTCTCCAACCAACTCTGTCCTGGGCTTCCCTTTCCAGTTCTGTCCAATTTTTGTTCATTCTTCTCATATCTTTATCTATTTCTCTGGGTAATATGTTCCTTGGCCTTCCTCTTTTCCGTTTGCCTTGAGGGTTCCATGTGAGGGCTTGTTTTGGGACTCAGTTTGGTGCTTTTCGTAGTATGAGACTAAGGAACACACTGAGCAAAGACATAAAAGGAACGAATAGCGACTAGGTAGGACTGAAAAGCATGGTCTACGATCGACTAGGTTACAGAAATCTGGTTGTAACAGGGGTAGCAGGCGTAAGTAAGTATGTTAAATACCAATTCCTACATTGAACCTCCTAAAAGAATAAAAAAACTTGACAAAGAAATAGAAAGGTCATTCAATCACTTCTGACTGATTGATTCCCTTTTTCGTAGACTAATTATTATCAATGGCTCAATTGTTTTTTCCAGTCAATTATATATCTTTTCTCCGATCTATCGATCGATCCATATTCAAATTGTGCAAACGAAATTTCATTTCATTCCATTCATAGGTTGTTGGATTGTCACAGGCGGTTTTCATTTGGGTGTGATGAAATTGACTGGTGAAGCTGTACGTGATTACACTGATGCTTATGGTGGTAATCGGATGATGGCATTCGGTGTAGCCAGTTGGGATTGTGTTACAAAAAATGAAATACTTGAAGCTGCATTACATGAGGTAAAAATGTGCATGAATGTATATTCTCTCTTTTATTTGAGTCAAAATTTATGTTACAGTTAAGTAGTTGAAGTATTTCGATTGAAATTAATTTAAAATGACAGTCTGTGGTTCGTTTCCTTAAAGATATTTAGAATCAATGACAAATATCATAGTACTTTGGGATATTGCATTAGAGTATAATGGAGATGGTAGTTTTATCTTGAAATTATTAATGAATCATTGTTAAAACATCCTAGGACGGCCGTTTCGTCCTAGTGTGGAACTCATCAGTAGTGTGCATATCAATGACAGGTTTCTAACTGTGGTCTTACAATGGTTCACTCACGATTTCAGCGTAAAACTATCATCCCTATAATACTCTCACGTAATATTTTAAAAAATGTGCTTACTAGTGTCTATCTTCGTGAGGTTCTCGAAGTTTTCGTGAGAAGATGTGACCGAAAGAATTCAGTCCGGTCGGTCGCAGGTAGTAACTGTCGAAGACAAATGGATGAGGCTGAGTGAAATCCTCAGATTGATCAGAGTTAGATAATAACACCCTTATGCTCTGACTGGCTCAGTTGTTAAGCTTTCGTGCACGAGACTGAAGGTTCTGAGTTCAAATCCTGGGAATAGCGGCAGTCATGGATGCACACTGCTGATGAGTTCCATTACAGGACGAAGCGGTTGTCTTTCAGTGATTCTTCCAGGTTTCTCATAGTGGTCTAACAACGATTCATTCATAGCTCCAAGGTTATGTAGGATAGTTTATAAGTGGGTGAATGTATAGTATTTTCGTCCAATTAACATCGTTTGAAATCGTGAAGAAAATTTGCAGCTCAGGTGTATAATTTTGGTGGAGTCTCTTTCTCTGAGCTGGATGTTGTTCTTGCTGAGGATGTTGTGTTCAGAAAAAGAACAATGAAAGCTCCACAACTAAAACATCCAACTAAGAGAACGAAACTTCACCTCAACCATATTAACATCATTTGTATCTAGAGATAAGGATCTGTTTCATAACTGTTTGTCAAAGATTATCTAATTCATATGACATTAACTGTGCATCGGTGCAACAGGTTCAAGCCTACCTCAAATATTTTGAACATAAGATAAGTCCTTAGCTGATCAACAGTTGGTTTACAAGCCATCTATTCCTTCAGGATGCTGAAGCCCATTTACACCATTCGTTTAGAATAAGTATTTTTCCAACTCACGTATGAAGATCCTACATACTCATTGACCCGGTTTCGTTACCAGGCATTATTACGTAAACGACACCTAAACTGCAAAAAGTCAGTGTGTAGACATTCCTTAACAGTGGCTGTATAGGCTTTGTCGTTTAAGTAAAACTGAACTTTCTCAACCTTCAGTCGTACTATGACTTCCGGAGGGTTTTTTTTCAATTGTCAAGGACCGGACTCAGTTAGTCAGTCAGTTGCAATACAGAACTTCGTACGTATGTACATAAGTTCATGTTGCCATACCACATTAACACAGAGACGCAAATATCAAATCAAATCAAATAGTGATAAAGATAGTAGAGGTATTAATGGTAATGAAGAAGACTAGGGTTTGAAGATATTATTATTGAAGAAGTATAATTCAGTGAGATAAGGTTAGAAAGACAAAGGTAGAGGTGTTGATGAATTCAGAAGATTAGGATTTGAGAGAGTACAATGAATAGATTCACTTGCGCCATCGCTTTTGAGCCATGTGATTCAAGGTCTCTAACCATTGGTGACTTTCGTCTCGCAGATCCCAACCAGCCTACATCTACCAACATGGCTCAGTCCATTTGTCAGTAACTTCATGGATTTCTACCATGTTTTGGTTTGGCCGCCCCTAGCTTTCTTCCAACCTACTCCTGCACCACAAAACATAGCTCCTCGAGGCAGTCGTTGGTTAGCCACACGTAATACATGTCCCAACCACCTCAACTGATGAAGTTTCACTACTTCATCTATTGATTTGCCATCCTTACATAGAACTCGTTTCCTAACGATCGCATTACTTACTCGGTTGTCCCACGATATACGAGCAATGCTTCGAAGACACCTATCATCGAAAACCAGTAAACAGTAACGAATATCTTCTACTCTCACTGACCATGCTTCGCATCCATATAGGAGAACGTAGCAAACTACTGCGCAGTACACCCATCCTTTGGTTAGCCAAAGGATCAAGGACCAAACTTAGTTACAGAAGCTCATCTGAGCCTCATTATATCATTTCTGAATTTCAGTTTTACAAAAATCATGACCTATTAATCCGTTTCTTTTTAAAATCTCAATTTTCCATGAAATCACACTGACTAACACAATTAAATTTTTAAAAAAAATTAATCCATGACAATGAACTAATCCATTTAACATAATGAAATATTTTTTTAAATTAAATAATCAATCGTGAATAAAGGTTGTTTAACAAACAAAAATTGATACAGTACATGATTGAACACATTGAACTGTATACTTTACTTTACAGCTGAATAATTTCCATGTTTACACAATAAAAATAGCGAAACAGTTACAAGACAAAATAAATTAAGCTTAAATGAAATTAAAAATTTGTGATATAAAAAAGAAAAATGCTTTACAGGAAGTTCCTTACTAAATTATATATACATTTTTGTTTTAAATAAGTTCAAACTTGTTCAATGTGTCAATCACATTGTAAAATGAGATAGATATATTTCAACAAATTCATTGTTAAACAAGTAGGATTATATATATAGATTAGTTGATAAATTGATTTCCCTAACTTTATCTGATGACAGAATTGAGATGATGGAGAAGATTTGTAGCTCAGTTGGATCGTTGTGGTGATGGTGGTGTTTGGTATTCAGGTCAATCAGCAATCAACAACACGCATCGACATTGACCCAAATTATCAACCAATCAGGAAAATCATAGGCAAACATAGGATCAAGAAACAGATCAAAAGGCAGATACAACCAAAACAAAGGTGCAAACAACGATAGGTTTAAGGTCAACAACGACCAATCAAGATCAAGGTTAGCAGAACAAGCTACAGGTCAAACACGTGGAGAAATTCGAATACTTCACTTCTTCTATCTGAAGTTTGTGCTGATGATGTTGTTCAGTAGAAGAACAATGATGAAAGCTCCACAACCAAAATATCCAGCTCAGAGAACCAAACATCACCACCAAGATGACAGAATTTTATACATGATAGATGCACTGCATGGATGTTTTATCTTTGTATGTACGTCATCAGCACTACTACTTATCCACGATCCGGCAAGAGGAAATCTAGGTCATGAGACCGAAGTTCCTGAGGTTCATTGGTGTTTTCAGGATTGTGGATGCACACTGCGCACTGATGAGTTTCATACTAAAGAACGAATCGACTATCCAGTTGCTCTTCCAGGTTTTTTAATATTGGTTGAACAATGATCGGTGTTTTTTTATGATTTCAATGAAACTCAACCATCTTCACACAATCTCACATTGACAAGCAAAAAAAAGAGAGATGTGATATGATGATGATGACAAGATAAATGTGACATTTATGTAAATTAGTTCTCATTTAAGGTCATTTCATCTATTTGTTAAAACAAGGCTAATAAAAGATTTCAGATTATAAACTAGCATGCTCAGTGAATACAGTTTCAATCAATATAATCGCATGATTAAGTCACTTGTTTGGACAATCGGCATGAATGGTTTTTGATATGTTTCATGAATAAATAGAATGGAAATAACTATTCTCAAGCAACTTCATGAATTAAATGTGAACAGCTTCGTTTATATCAATCAATCTACTGGGTGAAATTAATTTGATTCCCTCACTTTTATTATCTAGTTGTGTAGTTGAATAATTTTTAGTTTCCATTGTATGAAGGTTGTGGAGATTGTTGAGTTTCATTGAAACCATTAGTCGATCACTGTGAGATGAACATTAGGAAGCTGGAATAAGCACTGAACAGCCGTTTCGACCTAGTATAGGACTCATCATCATCACAACCTCTGCACGCGGAAACTGAACTCAGGAACTTCAGTCTCGCGGGGAACTGTAGACCATTGAGCCGAAGTGCACTGGTGTTAAAATGCTTTACCTCAGCTAATCCACAGTAGTGCGAGACATCATGAATTTGTATTTGGTGGGCAACAACTGATTCTTACTTGACACAGTGGTCCTTCACTGGTCACAGCTTCTCATTAGAATTAATTAATTTGAGTACTACCATGTACATATATATATGCGTCTTACTGGATTTGAATTAAAGTATTACGGAGATGGTAGATTTACTTTGAAACGATTAATGAATCGTTGTTAGACCACCATCAGAAATTTGGAAGTACTGAAAGACGGCCATTTTGTTCTAGTATAGGACTCATCGACAGTGCGCATCCACAACTCCTGCTACTCCGAGGATTCCAACCCAGTACCTTCGATCATACGCTCGAACTCCTAACCTCTGGACCACTGAGCCGGTTGGTACCCAATGACGTTAATATCTAACTTTGATCAATATAGGGATTTTGCGCAACCTCATTCATTTGTCTTCGACAAAAGTTGATCTCCCTTCTAGTTACGTCTTCTCACTAAAACTCCGAGAATTCACTGACGAAGTTAGTAGTCACTAGTGAGTGTATCGTATGATTTTTTTATGATAAAGTTATAGAGATTGTTGTTTATTGCTGATAAGTCTCATAATAAAGGATGAAACGGCCGGCTTTCAGTAATTTTTCCAGGTTTCTAATGAAGATCTAAAAATAGGCAGCGCTCATTCATAACCCATACTTGCAGCATTCTGACTCCGGACCTCCAATCTTGTGCTTACTGGTGAACTAGCTTCAATGAAATTCTCGGAGTTCCAGTGAGAAGACATGACAAATGGAGTTCAACACTGTCAGGTGTAAGCAGTTACCAACCGTAGATAAATGGGTGAGATTGAACAAAATCCCTAGATTCGTCAAAATTGTCCAGAGGTTAAGCATTCACTCATAAGACCGGAGAGTTGGAATCCTGTATGTAGCAGGAGTTAGGGATGCGCACAGATGATAAGTCTCATACTAAGGCAAGAAACAGCTCTCTTTCATTAGTTCTAGGTTTCTAATGCTGGTAGTCTAACAATGATTGATTCTGTAGAGTTCGTCACTAAGTATGCTTAAGGTTATTACGAGTGCACCTTAGTCGATAAACGCGAACTAGACAATGAACCAGCGTCCAAATAAGCTACCTTGAATCCCAAGCTGAAGTAAAAAGGCTTTGCAAGCGTAGAAAGTATATTCTACAAACACCCACCAATCACAGTACAATCAAGCATCCAACTCTCGTATATTTATACAACATAGAAACGTCCGTTAGACAGTTAAGAAAATAGCACACTAAAATACACAACAGCCAATCACAGCCAATGATTTTCCTGGTGGGAATTGAAATCTCAAGGTCAACTGATCAGCCCATGCTCGCAAACGTAAAATACAAAATAAGGCATTTAACAAGCGAATTTTGGGGATCTAACATCCCCAAAAAATTCAAGCATTCAGCAATCAACAACGATCTCCAAAACTGTATCATAAAACATATTCACTAGTTAACTGTCACAGAATGTTTATCAAGAATCTATTGTACTAACTTGTGTTTCTATTGATTGTACTACTCCTATTATTGATTTCAGGGTACAGCTGTCTATCAATCAGAAGAGGATGAAGAAGAAGAAGAAGAGGTTGATGTCAGTGAACCAATTCTTATGGATCCATTAACACAAACCACCGGACTGAAATCAATGCGTAGTGATATTGAAGAACGTGCTTTAGATCCAAATCATAATTTCTTTGTTCTTGTTGATGATGGCACTACAGATCAATTGAAAGGTAAAGAAGCTGAATTACGTTCAAGATTTGAACGTTGTATATCATTGTGGAATTGTGCAAGTAATCCACAAGAACAGTTGACAAATCAACAAAGTACTACTACACAAAGTTCTACAACACATTTACAGCAATCACAACCGCCTCAACCAGCACAGAATGGTATTACCACATCAACGAACATTGATAATAATAATAATAATAATAATAATAATAATAATACTAATCAGTCAAACACAGGAGGATTACAACGACAAGGTAGTACAATGATGGCTGGTGGCCAAGTGAGTACAACATCTGGTCCACAGACAAGTGTTACATCAATAGGTAAAAATTCTGCTATAACCGGTGCTTCATCAAGTAATTCTGCTTTGAGTAAAGGTGTCAGTGAATTGGCAGTGAGTAATCAACCAGTGTCGACTTCATCGACTACACGTGGTGGTGCTGGCGGCGGCGGTGTAAAAGACAAACTTCCGACGGAATCAAGTTGTTTAAAACCAGCTAAAAGTGGTAAATCCGTTGGTAGTGAAGAAGAGATTTTGGTACCGATGTGTGGTTTAGTAGTTGGTGGTGATCGATTCACACTGCGTCAAGTGTATTGTTCAATGATACGTAATCGTTGTCCAATTGTTGTAACAAAGGTAGGTGATGTTATCAAGTTTTATATTTAAGTAAATTAAAATTTACTGAGTGTTTTAATTGAAAAAAACAATTTTTAACATTAACTCAATCATAGAGATGAAAGTGTAGCAAGGTCCTAGGTTCGATTCCCGCGAATGGCAGTCATCAACAAGCACTGCTGACGGGTACCACGCTAAGCTGAGAAGGTCGTCCAGTGGTTTTAGGTTTCAAATGTTGGTCTGATATTGGTAGATTCATGGTTTCAATGAAAGTCAACAATTTCAACAACCCTATATTCAGAATTATCATGTACTGACTAGTGATTAGCTTTGTCAGGGAATTTCTCCGAGTTCTAGTGAGAAGTCATAACCGCCAATGCAGTTCATCCCTGTCTAGTGTGAAGCAGTTATCTAATGAAGACAGTGAGTGAGGTCTCACAATACCTTGGGTTGATTAAAGTTTGACACACACCATTTCATGCCAGTCCAAGGGTCTAGAAGTTAGGCGTTTTCGTGCATGATCGAGGGTCCCGTGTTCGATTCCCGTGTAAGGGGGTCATGGATGCTCTCTACCGATGAGTGAGGAAAATTATGTAATACTGCTATTAGTACCAG